AGTGGTGTGCAGAGCAGCACTCTCTCCTTTCTGTGTGGCTAACAGGTAAAGGGCCAGGATGCACTCCCTCCCACATACAAGCCACGAGGCCACAGAGTGACTGGCTTGTCTCTTTCTTACATGGGACTACAGTGAGAAGCTAACCCAGGGCCTCTGCTTTCCTCTGGCAAGGCCCTCTGGCACAGTAAGAGGCTCTGGGAGCCAGTCTCTCCTCCTGTGTTTCTGTCTTTCCCTGGATCTATGCCCCAAGAAGTGGGCAGATGTACTGGAACGGTTTTACTCAACTGAGAGAAAGGCCAGGTCCAGTTCATCAGACTTGTCTGCACTAGAATAATGGGCCCAAGTCTTGGTCAACATTAAGTACTATTGTGTTTTCTCTCATTATGGCTCCTATACAACAGCTCCTTGAGGTATCTTATGGGGAGTGGTGGCTGTTACTTAAAATGGCATTGGGCATTCCAGGGTCTCTTGGCCACACAGTCAGTATCGCGAACACCTTTTATTAACACAATGAAAATACCAGAAAAGGGGGATGTGAGAGGAGGAACAGTTAGGCAAATAGTCTTTTTAAAGGACTTAGAAGCATAACTAGGCTATAACTAACTTTGTAATAGTAATAATAAACATTTATTGAATGCTTAGTGCATGCCAGACTCTCTGATAAGGTCTGAATTACAGGGTATGAATTATAGCATAGTTTTGGAATAGCTGTATGAGGCTAGATACTATTACTAAACCATTTTACTGATGAACAAAGGAGGCACAGTGAAGTCTGGTAACTTAAGCAGAGTCATGAGCAAGGGTGGATCTGGTGTTTGAAGCTCAGCTGGGACTCCGGGAGCCCAGTTCTCCAGCACGTTCACCTCCCCTCGGTCACCAGGCTCCACTGCAGAACTCCAGGGTGTGTTAACACAATTGCCCAAATAAAGCTTTCAAGGGCAAAATGATTGGGATAAAAACAAACCTATCTATTTTCAGGATGATTATGACATTCTGGACAGGCTTCAAATTAAACAGGCAGAACTAAAACAATCCGTTTCGGAATACTGAGGCTTGGCGGAAAGGCAGGCCTGGTGAGCTGGTCCAGGGAGCACTTCCTATGCTGCACCAGGCAGGATTTGTGCATGTCAGAAGGATTTGCATGCCCCCATCTGCAAATAACTGCACAAGGTTTGCTCCCAAAGGCAACACACACCTCTGGGCTAAGGCAGGTTAAGAGGGATGGGGAGAGAGCAATGGCAGAGGAGTTCCTGTTCTTGAGGACACTTGCCCCTTTCCCAAGCCACACTGTAGCCCAGGCCTGGCCCTCTGGGGGCAGGGGCAGCACCACCTTGCAGGCAGCCCCTCCGCCACTGCCTGCTTTCATCTGAAAGCTGCACTCCATGTGTTCTCTCTGGAACCATTTCAGATTCCTACTGACTGATAGTGATGCTCAGATTCAGTCTGGCAGTAGCACACACCAGCTGTTTCCATAAGCCTGGGCCAAACGTGGTCACGGCAGTTTAGAATTTCCCCCATAAGTGGGTTTGAAATGAAAACTTCAAGTTTATAAACCAAACCTGAGTTCACTTTTCAATGAATGAGACATGCATCCCTTATGGCTTAGAATAGTGACAGAACAAGGGAGTGCTGACCCCTTATTTGCCTCCGACACACCAGGTGCCTCATAAAGCAGAGTACTCCAGAGGCTTCCAGACAAACTGGGATTGGGGTGGTGAAAATGCACAGCTGATTCTCTTCCCTTGGTTTATTTCATCCTGGTTCTCATTCCCACTCTTTTTACCTCCCCTTCCATCTTGTTCATTCATTGGCTCCACGTCTTCCTCCCAACCCTTAGAGCTGGGTTCGATCAATCATTAAAAGTCTTCTTTCCTTGTTCTGTGCACTTCTTTAGGCTGCTACTACCCAAGTTCTTGGCTTTCAGTATAGCCTCATCACTCCCCAACCACCAGTCAGCCCCAAATGCTTTTCTAAGCTTCATACCCACACATCCATACCCATACACAGATCCACTTGCATGTCCCACACGCATCTCGAATAAAAGTACCAAAAGGAGGCCGGGCGCGGTGGCTCATGCCTATAATCCCAGCACTTTGGGAGGCCGAGGCGGGTGGATCACGAGGTCAAGAGATCGAGACCATCCTGGTTAACATGGTGAAACCCCGTCTCTACTAAAACTACAAAAAATTAGCTGGGCATGGTGGTGCGTGCCTGTAATCCCAGCTACTCAGGAGGCTGAGGCAGAATTGCCTGAACCCAGGAGGCGGAGGTTGCAGTGAGCCGAGATCGCGCCATTGCACTCCAGCCTGGGTAACAAGAGCGAAACTTTTTTCAAAAAAAAAAAAAAAAAAAGTACCAAAAGGAACCACCTGTTCAGCCATCTCCCACAACTTGCTGCTGCTTCTCCTCCCATCTTCCCTATTTTATTACGAAGTCCAGATACAGATAAATCATCTTAGATTCCTCCAGCTCCATTCCCTGATATCCTGTTAGTACTGGGTACCTTTGATTCTACCTCCTAAATCTTTCCATCCTCAATCCCAATGCCTTAGTTCTTATAAAAGCCTTGTAAACAGGCTCCTCAACTCATGTTTCGTCCTCTCCTAGTATTAAATCACACATTTTCCCCCAAAATAATCCCTCTCATTTGTTAATCTCCCTACATTCCTAGGGTTAACTAATATGAACTGGTTGTTCATAGCTGGCAAACATTCTGATTGGTCAGTGGCTATATCACATGGTTGTCAAATGTTTTGACTGTTACCCTGTTACCCCCATGATTAAACCCTTCAATAGCTCCCTAAAACAGTCTCTTTAGTGCAGCATATCATGTCTTGTTTGCCAGCCAGTGCCTAAGCCACAACATCATGCTACCTAACCTTTTCTAGTTCCTCTAAGGCAGGACTTCTTTGTTTGCAGTGTACAGGTCCAGGGCCTTGGTGGATGGGGGGTTATGTAAATTTGAAAAAAAATTTACATGTTTATTTTTGTTAATCTCTAACCAAAATTTAGTATTTCCTTCCGTTATGAATACAGGCAACAAGCCATAGTATTAGTAATGCCTGTATTTTGTCACCTATAAAAATGGTATTTTCAAATCACACTAACTTGCTCAAGGTGACTAAAAAATTATACTCATCATTACAAATTGAAAATAGTAATTCTGACTGCTATTATAGCTCATTATCCAATGATTGCTTTCTTTTGTAATCTTGTGTATTTGTTTTATGCACTTAAAAACATCACTGTGAGCAGAATCCAAAAGCTTTACAAGAGAGCAAAAGAGATATGTGGCACAAAACAGGTTTAGAATCCACACTCTAATTAATGGCTTCCCTATCTATACATCTGTCTAGCACTTATTTATTGACTGTTTACCAGGTATGAATTATGCTAGGCCCTAGGGGATATCAAGAGGAGGAAGAAACAGTTCCTTACCTCAAAGTGGGGAAAGGCAAAGGTTGATTGTTTAAATGCTATGTGATAAATGCAGTATGATAACTTTACATAGGGAGTGACGTCTAACCAAAACCCAAGACTGGGAAGGCCTCTTGGAAATGACATTGGACAAGGAGAATTTAGTCAGATGACAAAATAACCTATAGGATGGGCGTGGTGGCTCACGCCTGTAATCCTAGCACTTTGGGAGGCAAAGGCGGGTGACTAACGAGGTCAGGAGTTTAAGACCAGCCTGGCCAACTTGTAAAACCCCACCTCTACTAAAAATACAAAACAATTAGCTGGGTGTGGTAGTGGGTACCTGTAATCCCAGCTACTCAGGAGGCTGAAGCAAGAGAATCACTTGAACCTGGGAGGTGGAGGTTGCAGTGAGCCAGTATTGTGCCACTGCACTCTAGCCCAGGAAACGGTGCAAGACTTGTCTCAAAAAAAGAAAAGAGAAAATAACCTATGATGTCATAAACTGTGGTATACTCCTTTAGAAACAACTATGAGTCTGTAATATTTGCTTCAGGAAAGAAAAATTATTTTAATAAAATTAATTACCTTATTTTAATAAAACAAATTATTTTATGCCCAATACTGTGTATAAAATGACTAGACCTTGGAAGGAGGACAACCAGCCCAACAGATCTTTTAAAGCTAAAAATGTCCATTTACCTCAAGCATATTAAAAACTCTTTTCTTGTGTCCAGTGGATATACAGTGGTAGAATATTTGGATTTAGAACCAAAGCCTGCAGGTTATGGTATCACAGTTCTCTCGGGGAGGAGAAAGAAGTAGAAAGCTGTCTGCATGATATGGTAGAAAGCTTTATTTTTAGACTATCCTGTGGCATCCTGGCTGGATGGCACAAAGATACATTTTTCAGAACTATTTTTAGTTGAATAACTTGAGATATAGGAAATTATTTTTCAACAAATGTGTGGCTCGATGACTATTCACACTGGACAGTCCTGGATAGGTATGACGTTTCTGAATGCCTTTGTTTGGGTGGAAAGGGAAACAGTATCATCGATTAAGATACCTAAACTAGGAATGCTTCTAATCCTGGACACTGGTTTTAGTTTGCCTAGTTATCAGTGGTGTTTGGAAGGCAGGAGGTGATGCACACTGCCTTCCTAGAACTATGTGCACTTTTAAGTTTCCTTATTTTCTCAAGTAGACTGGGACACATGTTGATTCAACTTTTACCAATATTAAATTACAGCATGTTTCCTCTTTTTATTACAGAAACAAAAAGTTGCAATAAACTTCCTGTCTCTCTGTACCTAGTTTCACTTAGGAATTGTAATTGTATTATGCTAGTGGAGAGCTTGAATTTTGCTGGTAGAAAGGATAATGAACTAACTGCAAGGTAGTTTTGCATGATTAAATGAAACAATGCCTTGTTTCCTCATATTCTACAAGTACATTTAACGCTATATCAAAAACAAAATTATTGCCTGGAGTTGGAAAAGTTTATTTCTGTGACTGTGTGTTAATACTAACCTTGAAATGTCTACCATCTACCATTAAACCCCCGTATTTCCCCATAAAAGTTTCAGTAAACTTACAGTCCTGACACAATTACCATGAACAGTCCTCTATCTGGGAATGATTACACTTGCATATGGATTTAACTTAGGACAGGAATAAGTTAGCACCTTTCTTTGACCTTTTTCTAAGCACAACACACAAGCAGAATCCAGAAATGATGAGTATTTTACAGCAGCTGGCTTCCACAGGTGGTAAGACAGGCTCTGACACATGATGGGTCTAGTCACTCAGCAAGTGTGAATTTTGGAAGAGAGCATCTGCCAGTCTTATTATTAACTGAGAGTTGAGCTGTTTTTATGAACTCCCAACCTGGAAGAACTTAAATGCATTTTTGAAACAGATTCACTTATAGTTTAAACGAAAAATAAAATACTGTTTTTCTTGTATTTTCACATTGCTCAATGACTGGAAGTAGCTGAAAGCCCTGGGGAGAGGTCCACCAGAGGCCCCAGCACTCTCCCTTCGGCTAGTGAGGGCTTCCTTCTGGTTTCCAAATTTCAATCTCTAGCCAATTGCTATTTTGGAAATATAATGACCACTACAGCCATGAGACAAAGACACACTGGCATTTTCAAAAGTCCTCTCCTGGTGAATATTTTCAATATGCTGAAAAAAAATTTTTTAAGAACATATCCATTTCTTGCTTTAAGATAATTGTATTGGGAAGTTATGGAATTATGAATTAACACTGTAGGAAAGTTTAAGTCAAATGTATCAAGGTTTATAAAGACATTCTAAGTCCAGTGGGTTATCTCATATCTCACCTGTGGATTATAGGTTCCTGAGCCCTATAAGAGTTTGCCACTCAGCAGGGATCAGTTCAGTAGGTATCAGAGTTTGGCACCAATTGTAAAGTGCAAGATCAGTGCTGTCCAACCAAAGTATAAAGCAAGGTACACACGTAATTTTAAAATTTCCTAGCAAAGATGTTTAAAAAAGTATAAAGAAATAAGTGAAATTACTTTTAATAATATGTTTTACTTAATCCACTCTATGTAAGGTAGTATCATTTCAACAGATAATCAATATAAAAATTAATGAAACATTTTGCTTTTGGGGGGTACTAAGCTTTTGAAATCCATGTGTGTTTTACACTCATGGTGCATCTCAATTCAGGCTAGCCACAAATAACCACATGTGGCTAGAATATTAGACAGTATAGCTCTATCCTACTTAGAATGGACAGCCAGACAAATGATGCCACAGGAGTACCACAGTCACCTAAATTCCAAGGTGACCTTAGACATATACTAAACCACAGTCTTATCTTATGGTTTCCGAGATTGGTGCTTCCATATGTGTTTGTGCCAAGATTCTAGTATTTGCAGGATAACTCCCAAAAGGTGAATATTTCAGAAAAATGGTCTTAAGGTCAGAGCAGGACATTCCTACTCTAATACATTAGAGAATAAGAAAGACAGGCTCAGTAGTCATGAGGTCATATAATATATAATGTAAGTTATTTTCCACTGTTTATATTCCAATATAATTTATTTATTCTATAAACATTATTGAGTCTTCTCAATAGAAGACCTAGAGAGGCTAAAATGCATTGACAAAATAGAAAACTGTTGATTCTAAAATTAATTCAAAAACAGGTGGTAAGATATATTTAAGTTACTATGCAATCAGCTTTACTGTTCTCTATGCAGCTTTCAAGGATAATTATAATTTTAACTGGAAGTAGAACTCTACGTCATTCTACAAACCCTTAAAGTCTTACAGATTCTAACTAGTTCTAGTCCTTTGCCCTCAGTAAAAGTCTCTGCCCATCTAAGTATTACTTATCCCCTTGCAGCACTAAAGTGATTACCTTACATAAATGCTTCTTTATGGCTTCGTCATCCCTCTTCACCACCTCCATCATTTCTTGGCCCCCAAGGTAGGCAGCATTAGCTACATTTAAAAAATAAAAAGTCAACCATTTAGAATACACAGAACAAACACAAATTTCAAATTAATTTTAGTAAATTCATGTTCCTCCTTTCTTTTGGCATATGCTATCTGATGAGAGATACTGGTGAGGCCAAGAGAGGACTGTGAGTCAGGCAATATGCACACAGTCTCTGGAAACAAGAGCATTTACTTTAAAAGAACCTTCTTCCAACCTCATCTGACTTCTCCATAGCAAACGTTCAATGGTTCCACAGCCCAATGTCAGACACCACAGCAGATGATGTGTGTAATTGTACCAGACCAATATGTGCTATTTCAATTTAAGACTTAGAAGCACAAATTGCTACCAATAAATCATGTATGCCAAGAAAATGCAAACAGTTATTAACATGAAAGCATACTGGATTAAAAAAAAATAAAACAAAGGAATATTTATTTTTTAAAAATACGTTTGAAGATCTCCAGGGGTTTTCAGTAAGGGTTGGTCCCATTATATTGGCTGCAAAATCAGCTAAGTGATGCTCACTTTCAAGATGTCAAATACCTAGGAAAGAGGAAGAAAGCCAGGGGTAACATGAATAAATGTGGCTTTCTTGTACTGGGAAGAAAATTTTCATTCAATGCTTGTGCCTTCAATTCCATGTTGGCTGGCATTACTATTATCTTGCTTTCTTCTTTGCCAGCATCTGCTTGGTATATGCCCTTCCCTTCATTTTCAATCTTTTGTCATTTTGTTTTAAGTGTGTGTCTTGAAATCATGTAAGCTGACTTCTTTAAAAATATAATTTGAAAGTTTCTGTTTCTTAAATAGACAGACTAAACATATTCACATATATTGAGATTGGAGCTATTTGGTCTGACCACAGTCATCTTGTTTTATATACCCTACACTTTCTTGTTATTTCTGACTCTTATCTTTAGTGTGAATGATGAGTTTTCCTCCTCACCCAGGCTTTAACAAATTTCTTTTCATTAACAATCTGAAAGCATAAATTCCATTTTTATTTATCTAGTGGTTAGCCTTACCTAAAAACTGCAAACTTACATTTTCTCTTGCTGTCTGAAATCATTCATCTAAACAAGGCAGGCCCTTAGCACACTGTACTTTCCCCATGCCTTCCTCCCATCCTGCCTCTATCCCCGTGGCTTCAATTATCTAGAATTTTAGTTCCAGATTATTAGTATTATTGAGATGGAGTTTTGTTCTTTGTTGCCCAGGCTGGAGTGCAATGGTGCGACCCTGGCTCACTGCAGCCTCCACCTCCTGGGTTCAAGTGATTCTCCCATCTCAGCCTTTCAAGTAGCTGGGACTACAGGTGCTCACCACCACACCCAGCTCATTTTGTATTTTTAGTAGAGACAGGGTTTCGCCATGTTGGTCAGGCTGGTCTCAAACTCCTGACCTCAAGTGATCTGCCCACCTCAGCCTCCCAAGTGCTGATAGTTTCAGTTTTATAAAGGTAACACACACACACACATACATAATTTCATATCAAATATCACAGAAATGCCTGCAGTGCAAAACTATAGTTTCCTTTTCCATCATTTCCCACTTCTAGACCCGTTTCCTAGAGGAAGCATCTCTTAACTCTTTTAGCTGTTCTTCCAACAGTTTTCACCAAACCTCCAAACATTTATGACCATCTTGCCATTGCTCGATAACTTATTCATTACCGTTGCTGAGCTGCAATGAGAGATGAGGGTTTAGCTCACTTTTACAGCCCTACCATTCCTTCCTGTTTAATTCTTCTATTCTTACTAATATACTTATGCTTTTACTTCTAAATATTGTTCACTGCTGAGCCAAGCAGACTTCCATTCTTAAAAGTTAAGTCTCTGTCCTCCAATATTTGTTTTTGTTAAAGTTACCCCCTCCTTTTTTTTTCTAACTCTACTCAATCGAAATTTTTCTGAGTCAGTTCTTCCTGGAGACCTCCTTTCCTGGACCCTTAGACCTTCTGCTCTAACCTGGAACTGGACCTCTGTCAACTTAGAATTTCCCTTCACTGCTTTCTTGGGTTGTTCCCATAGTTTTCTAAGTCCCAGTTAATTAACTCATTCATTTGTTTGTTCATTCAAAGATGACTGAGCACCTACTTACTTTATGCCAGGCATTATTTTAGCCCCTGGAGATAGAGAAACAAGTAAGACAGAAAAACTATTCTTGAGCTTATATTTTAGTGTTGGGATGACAGATGGTGAGAAAGTGCTATGGAAAAAAATAAAATCAGCTCAGCAGATAAGTCTGTGCAGTGACAGTGGTGGCCTATTTTATGTAAAGTGCACCAAAAAGGCCTCCCTGATAAGGGGATGTGTGAATAGCGAGAGACCTGAATGAAATGAGAAAATGGACCATGCAGATACTTGGGTTAGCAGCACTCTAGACAGAGAAGGGGATAGGAGATGTTCCCTTAAATATAGCCATGATGTAATACTAAAAAGTGGCACTTTATTTTTTATTTATTTTTGAGACAGTCTGGCTCTTGGCTCACTGCAATCGCCACCTCCTATGTTCAAGTGATTCTCCTGCCTCAGCCTTCCAAGTAGCTGGTACTACAGGCGCGTGCCACCACGCCCAGTTAGTTTTTGTATTTTTAGTAGAGGCAGTGTTTCACCATGCTGGCCAAGACGGTGTCGATTTCTTGACCTCATGATCTGCCTGCCTCGGCCTCCCAAAGTGCTGGAATTACAGGCATGAGCCACTGCGCCCGGCCAAAAGTGGCACCTTCATCATTCTTGTCTGTCTGTGATATTAGCATGAATACATATAGGAGTAAATATTCTGCATTTTCTTGGCCTAATCTCCTAAATCAGGACAGGATATTTAGTCACAGTTAAGACTCTAAGTCCTGGTTCCAAAATCAGAGCTGTTTTTGTTTTACTATATTTCAGGGAACTTATAAGGACCAAATAAATCAAAGCAACAGGGATTTGGTTAATACGTTATGGTCTATTCACTAAATTAATTATTCTATAACCTATTAAATATTATCCTGCAGGATATATAATGTCAAATACATATTTAAAAATAATAGTAACTGACAAAAAGCAAACCACAAAATAGTACAGTATGATCCCACTGTTATAAAGATACATATGTGTATGGTACAGATTTATTTGAAAAGATAAACAAAATAATAACACGTTATCTCTGGTTGATGGAATCCCAGGTGACCTGCCTGTCCTTTCTTCTCTCACTTCCCTGCCTCCCTTCCAATAGGTTATAGTTTCTTTCTTTGTACATGGTTTTGTCTTTCCTAGAATTATTTATTGCCTTTATTTGTTTTCTTTTTTCATGGGTAGACAATGAAAATTCCCTACTTTCTTAAAAATGTACCAGATTTTATTCCCAAATGTGCAAACACATCCAATAATTCCTTTATTCCATCCCTTCCCCGCCGCACAGAGCCTTCCATTCTTCTGATCCAATCTTGGACTGGTTGTTCTCCAGGCCTGCTACATAGCTGTCATCCTTGGACCTCCCTTTACCACTTCTCTGGACTGGATTCCCTATTTTATGGATTCTGTTCATGACTTTCTCTTTCTTGGTTTATTCCCTTACTTTACTGAAGCACATTTTGCAGTAACTAATAAAAAGATATACAGGAATTTTTATAAATGTTTACATATCTAATTTTTGTTTCTTTTTCCACATGAATCACATAGTATGGCTGCATATAGAATTTTAAGCTGAAAAAGGCTTACCCTCCAAATTTATTATCTTCTAGCGTCCAAGGTTAATGAGTTCAATTCTAATTTCTTGGAATGTGACTACTTTCCTTTGCCCTACCCCTATCCCATCTCCTTATCCTCAGGCTCAGCTCTCTTAGCTCTAGAATCCTTAAGTTTCATAAGAATATGCCATAATACAAATCCTCTGTTCCTTAATTGGACTGGAAATCCAGTAGGCCCATTCACTGTTTGGACTTACCAACTTTCGTTCTGGAATATTTTCTTTTATTATTTCTTTGATAATTTATTTCACTGTTTTCTCCATCCTCTCTTTCTGGAACTCCTACTAGTAGGATATTGGATTTCTTAGATTAATCCTCTAAGTCATATTTTTCTTCTATAGCCCTTCTCTTTTTCAATTTGTATTACTTTCTAAGAGATTTCAACTTTTTCTTCTGTGTTGAATTCTCTATTGAATTTTTATTTTGGCTGTGAACATTTCAATTTCCAGAATATTTTCTTGCTCTCTTTCCTTTTTTATAGCATTCTTTGTTTCATAGATGTTATATCATCTTTCTGAGATTAGAGGGCGTTTCATAATGAAAGTTTTTTTTCCTTTTTCCTGTCATGGTAGTCTTTCTTTCCTGACCTCCCCTACCCCAAGTCTGTATTTCTGTTTTGGTCTTTTATATTGAGGAATGTCTGATATACTTGCACTGTATAA